TAATGTACTGTGAGATTGCAGAGCCAGCCCTGCAGGAGGCTGCTCAGCCCGTGCACAGCTACCCCAGGCTGGGCTGCCTGCTGCTGGGGCCTCGGGGCTGCTGCTGAGGAAAGGGCTCACTGCTATACACGGAGGGGACAAAAAGTGTGGCTCTTTAGTGAGACCCATTTCATCACATCCTGCTTTTGCAGAGCTACTTTGGAACACTTCCTGTGGCTGCTCCGTGATCCTTGGGCTCTGGCATCTCCCTGGCATTACAGACACACTTTGTGTGGCAGTGATGGCACTTTCTGCCCTGCAGATCAGAGTTCAGTGTAATTGTTATCAGGTAGCTCTGCTTTGCTCTGCTGGTGCCATCCCCAGCATCTTGGAGCCAGGATTAAAACTCAAATCGTTATGGCTCCAGCAAGATTTAGAGCTTCCTTCTTGCGGGCTCATCTTTTGTGCCTCAGTGTCTGGTTTATGGTTATGTGGCCCTGGGTGCATTAAAGACTCAACAGCAAAGCCAGGGACTACATAGATGCCTTGGAAAGGTTTTAGTTGATCAATGTGATGAGACAACAGGAAGATGCTATTTTCAGCCCTACCAAAGAGTGTGCCTTGCAGAGCCCGTGGCTGGTTGACCTCCAGAGAGCACTGGGAATGCTGTGCTTCATTAAGCTGGAGAAATGATCCTCATAAACATCTTCTTTGCTCATCAGAGAAGACAAAATCTGAAATCTTGTGTTAGTACAAAACAAGAGAAAAATAAACATAAAATACTCGGGTTCTAGAGCTTTAAATAGAGAAAAGTGAAATGTGAAAGAATTGCATGCACGCTTTTTTCCTTAGTCATTCAGTGGAAGGTGGAGTAGTTAAGTCTGTGGCGCCTTTAAAATGATTCATTATTTCCATAGAAGCCAATTGATGTTTATCCTTCAAATTGCTCTGTGGACATTAAAATAATGGAGAATTATATTTGCTTTTAATTTTGTTTCCAGACAGCTTGGCCTGAACATTTATGATGTGACTTGGAAACCGTATCAAATAGTGATTTATAGCTGCTGGTAATTGTGTGAAGATTGAAGATATGCTGGATGCCGCTTTCCTTTGCTTTTTTTTCCTCTTTGCCTCCCCCATTCTTTTGCTTACAGAGTGCTCTTGAGTGTAACGTGGTGAAAGGCCAACATCTCTGCCTTCATTGCTTTTCCTTGTACAAGCCACAGCAAATGAAGGTTTTATTTCTCCTTAATACGAGGCTGTGTGAAATTAATTGTGGTTTGTATTTGATAATTGGTTTGGGTTTGTTTTTTTTTCCTTTGCGTAAGTTTTGGCTGGTTTTGTGTTGTCATGATAATCACACCCTTTGTAGGGTGCAGAGAGTGGTGTTTTTTAGTTAAGCTGGATGAGAATAATATGCAAAACATGAATGGGGAGGGGGAAGACTTCTCTTTGTGGTAAGGCATCTGTTGAGTGTATGGATATCAAATCTGCTCCCCAGGTGAGCCAACACAAGTATTCCTGCCTAAATTTATCTATCAGGTCTTATGGCTCAAGGAATTTGTTATTCCTATTTTCCTAAATTCATTTTTCCTGCACAGTTTTTATCTGCTTTTTCCTCCTACTGTGTAAAAAGCTGTTCTTAGAGTTTTGTGCATAATATAATTTAACAGAAGGAAACAAAGGGGATTTTGTGGACTGTAGTAGAAAAGCCCAGTAAAGGTTATTCAAATTTTGAGAACTTCTCTAGTCATGTTGCAAACTCCAAAATAAATAATTTAAACCTAAAAATTCTAAATTATTATTAAAACTTTCCAGGATACTGTTTTCATGTTGAATATAAGAGTGTTCCTTACAGTTGTTTCCTGCCCTGACAAAAACCATCTGTGTGATACTGGGACATGCTACTTTTGTGGTTTGGTCCTGCACATGCAGCAGTGTGTTTTAGGTTTGTTTGTTTTTTTAATTTCTGTACATAAAAGGAAGCCTCAAAACATGCAGCAAGTGCATTTGGGCCCACTTAGGAATTCCAGATGGCACTGTGGCCTGAACCAGCTGTTTTTCAGCACTGTAAGGAATTATTTTTTCTTCTTATCTTAGTTAAAAATGAGCCTGTTTAGTTTTGCTTTTGTTCCCAGCCTGTTTGCTTTCTCATTCTCATGCCCCAGAGCATTTCAGTTTTAGTCACTGCATGACATTGCTGAAATCAGGGCTGGAATGAAGTCACAAAAATGAACAGCAAGCCAGTCTTATCCAAAAGTCATGGGAGGGAACTGCATTCACAATTATTGGCAAAGATGAGCAAATGAACACTGACCATTGTGAAATTAAGTTCACCTTATCTTAGCTCCTCGTTGTTTTGTTTTGTTTTATCAAATGAGTTGTTTGTTAGTGTTTGCAAACGTTGTTCATGCCACAATTCCCGAGTATCCGGCCTTGGAGCTTCAATGAGAAAAGTGGTTTGGAAAGAATCCAAATCAGTTCATGCAGAGGCTATGCACGTTAGTAGAAAACAAGTAACAAAGGCTGAGCATGGATTTTGTCTGCACTTTTACCCTAAAAGACTCTCTGCATATGTATCTGTGTGCATGTGTGTGTATGTGTATATATACGGTACATGTGCATATATGTGATCACATTAATCTCAAATTTTCAGCAGTTTACTCTCTTGCTTTCACATCCTCACAGTGATTTACACTAAATTCCAGGTTTCCTTGCCCTTTAGGGAAAAACATTATCATCTGCTTTCTGAGTAATGGTCTGCCAAGCATATGCAGCTCTTCACTGTTTTTTAGTAGAGACTCTGAAAAGTAAAATATTTTTAAATGTTCTCGTGCATTCAATTTGTAATAATTTTTAGAAAATAATAATTTAAACACCTGTAATTTTACCTAGTCAGACTAGTCTGATTGTGCTGTAAATTGGCCCTGAGATAGATGAACCATTCCTACTTCTTGAGTCACAAAACTCATCACAGCCTGGCATTTGATTGGGACAAATCTGCTGGGTCTCAGAGTTAAGGTCACCAACACCCCTGACAGCATAGGGAGCTGGAGGCCCTGTGGCAGAAATCCACTGTGGAGAAGGGCTCTCCCTCTCCCCACTTGGTTCCAATAATGGAGAACAATGCTGGCTGCTTTGCAAAATATCAGTACTGCTGTACAGAACCTCTGCTTTCAGCCCGCTGAGTCAGACTTGTTTACTTCATAGAAGTATTAATCTCTGCCTCTGATTGTCAGCTACTCCAGGCTCCAGGCTTAATAGAATTTCAAGCTGTAGATGACACAGTTTTGCTGAAAATATGAGGCTTCTATTGCATTTTGAGTGATGTATTCTGCCTCACTCCCCTTTGGTTCGTTTGCCATGGCTGAGGTTAAGATGGATAATTAATTACTCCCATCCCAAGCCTTGTCCTTTAATTTAATGATTTTCTTTAGCATCTGCCAGAATCTTCTGCATGCACTCCTGAGATGTTAAGCAATGAAAGAGCCATTAAGTTGAATTCAGGCATTAATTTTTTTTCAGTGGGATGAAGTAGCACTCCAGTAGATTAGGCAGTTTCTGGTTTATGTTATTTCATAGCATGGCAAAGAAATGTGGGAAGAGGCTGATTTTCTGGCTGCAGGAGAGGATGGTGAATGGGGAAGCCTATCTTCTGGTGCTGCAGCTTGCCTCAGTCTTAGCAAGAAGTAGGACACAAGAAGGATCAGTGCAGTGAAACATGCAATTGCCAAGGGCCTGATGTCCACATTATGCAACAGGGAAGACAGAGGGAAGAGCTTTAGCTATACTTAACTAATATATCACTTCCCTCAGAAATGCTGTTTTATTGCCTGTAAAGCCTTTTCTGAGAACGAAGCAGCGTCAAGTTGTGTTGCTCTGTTCTTTGTGTTTTGAGGTCCATGAACGCTGTCATGAGTCATTCCTGGCTGGGGCTTTCATCACTCTCCTTCTCAGTCTGACCAATTCTCCATGCTCTTTGCTTGCCACTCCAAGTAACTCATACATTCCTTTCACAGACATAACTTCCCCATTTAACAAACTCTGTATTTTAGCTTTTTCTAAGAAATACATGAAAGCAAATTAGCACAAAATCTGCTGCAGTGGTCTCTCTGGGAAACTGCACGTACACCTGCTAAGCCCCAAACAGTAGCAGCAGGACTGAGCTTATGTGTCAGAGACACAAAGGGAAAATGGTCACTCTTGGAGTGCCTTGAAACAGCAGTTCCATGCAGAATTTATGGTGGGTTTAAGTGCACCATCTAGTGAGGCTGAAATGTCACTTCTGCATTTAAATTCCATATGCCTTCTGCCTTTTTAGATGTTTTACTTCTGTGTACATCCAAGTCTCACTGTTTTTATTAAGAGTTTAAAGATCCTCAGACCTTTGTAATTGTACTGTATACCTGTCAATCCACAGACTTGACAACTTTAAGGTTTAAATAAATCCACTTTTTACTCTATTTCAGTTTTGCTATAGCTGCCCAACATGCAACTGCTTGGAGAAGAATGTTGTTGCTACCATACCAGAATACTATAATTTAGTTGCATGGAGATATTTTACTAATCTCAGTATATGCTTGGGATTAATTTAATTCATCTAGGCCTAAGCACTGAACATTAGTTGTTCTAGATTAGTTGTGCTGTAGTTAGTACTCAGGCAGCTCTCAGGAGAGTCTCCTCCCATCCCAAGCCATGTCTCCAAAAACTGTTTGTGCAAATAGGCCCTGGCTATTGACCACGTCTCTACAGGGAGCCTGAACAATTTATTCAGATGGGTTGAGTCAGCTGCAGATGGTGAAAGCTGTGAAATCAGATATGATGGAATTCCAAAGTCTTTGCAGACCGATGATCGATCTATTCAGCATTGTTCTCTGTATTTAAAGAATTATCTCATGTTATTGTTTTTCCACCTGCAGCCGCTTTAACAGAAGCTGTGAAGAGTTCACCACAGCTTGAGGCAGTGCCTAGCAGCACTGTTCACTCCTGTTTTCTCACCTGTATTATTTCTCTTTCTTTAGTCTTCTGGCACCAGCATCACGGTGGACATTGCTGTCATGGGAGAAGCACACGGGCTCATCACAGACCTCCTGGCCGACCCTTCGCTACCCCCCAACGTCTGCACGTCCCTGAGGACAGTGAGCAACCTGCTCAACACACAGCTGACCTTCCAGGCCATCCACAAGCCCAGGGTGAACCCCTTGGTGTCCTTCAGTGAGAACTACACCTGCTCCGACTCCGAGGAATGTCCGGAGAAGGGAGAGAAACTAGCAATTCCCAAGGTGAGTGCTGGGGCCTGCCTCTCCCTAAAGGGACGCACTGAGCTGTCAGACATCACTGGGTTTTTTTGTGTGAATTGCCATCTCTTCTTCCTTCCCTAAATCAGAAGGGTGAAACGTACAGAAGTCAATTAAAAAGCTTCTGTTGATGACCTTCAGGTGCTTTGGATCAAGTCTAAACTGTTGTGTACCCCACAAACTAACAAAAATACCACAGTCATTAGTATGACAAATACTGTGAGCTCATAGAAGTTGTCTTGAGAAGAAAAAGACAGAACCATAAATACACATATATAATACTGCCTTTTTAAAATGGCTTTATGAATGCTCAGGGATCAGGCAGGAAATAACCAGTGTTAACCACCCACACATAGCAAGTGAACAGCTAGAAAGAGCACATCAGATTTGAAGTAGAGTGAATTGTAGGTTTGTTGCTAATTAGCTGTCCTGCAAGGCTTACATTTCATTTCTGAAACTAAACCAAAATGCTTTTGTAGTGCAGCCTCCCTTGTAAAATTAAATATAGGCAGAGTACATTGCACAGGCAAATGCTTTTATGTTTTTACAGTTTAAATGGCACAGCCAGTCATTCATTCCAGCATTTCCAGGCATCTGAATTGCAACGCTCGTGATTCTTTTATTACAGTTTAGTGTGATGATAATTGCCACCCTATTTGCCTGTTTAGCAGCTGTATGTACAAAATGGATGTTCACAGGTTTTTAAGCACATTTCCCAGTTTATTTTAGTGGCCATATCTAGAATGGCTGAACCCCAGGCTCTGAGGGGAAGAGTTAGTGGAAGAGCAGTGCTATCACATGAGCACACACAGGGAACAGATCCTAGTTTGCTGTTGCATAATACCCTGTGAGGAGAAGAGAAATGAAGGATGAAGAAATGAGTTAATGCTACAGAGAACTAATTTGATTGAAGAATTCATTGACCTAAATGTATTATGGTCTAAAATAAATAGTTTGCATGTCTTTATTTAAGTGTCTAAAAGCAGATTTAGGACCTTCACCTTAACCATCTGACACTTAGCTTTTGTGTAAGGAGATAATGTGTTAACTTATTTATCTGCAACTTTGAGCTTCAGAACCACAGATGTCTTATATCTCATATTTCTTAACCCTCTGGCAAAGTCCAAGCTCTCCATTGCAGATATATTTATTTTAGTTCTTAACTATAAACACTTTACGAGAACTTCACAAGAGAAACAGCTTAAAAAATTATAGGATCTGCCACAGCAAATCTGGCTCCAAAAAAAAGATCCTTTATTTTCTTTGCCTTCAAAGATTATTTAAAAAAAAAAAAAAGTGAATCCTGTTATTTGGAGAAATGGAGGAGTCAGGCTAAAGAAAAAGGAGGGGGTCAAGAAAAATCTGCTGTAAACAGTGATGCTTCCTCTGAGCTTTTTGAGACATCATATCCCAGAGCATGAAAGTTTTATTTCAGTGTGTAATCTTTGGGTTGGGTAGATGTGGCAGGGGAAAAAAGTTGGAGCTCCCTTGCCTTATTTTTCTTACAGCCTTTCTTGCCTTGAATCTCTGATTCTGAGGATTCATGACAGTTTTAATCAGAGCAGTTGAGGTTGAAAGTGCATCTGGAGATTGTCTAGTCCAGTCCTGTCCCTCAGCTCAGTGAGGAGAAATTTTCTCTAGGCTCAGCCTAGATCAGGTTGCTCAGGAGGATGTCCAGTTGGGTTTTGAGTATCTCCATGAATTTAGATTTCACAGCTTCTTCAAGCAACTTTGTGTTCAGTCATCCTCACAGTAAAAATATTTTTCCCTACATTTTAATTAAATTCCTTGTACTTCAGTTTTTGCTCCGCTGCCTCCTGTCCTGTCACTGGGCCCCCCTACAAAGAGCCTTCTTCTTTACACCCTCCCTTTAGCTATTTGAGTACCCTGGTAAGGTCTGCCCTGAGACGACTTCTTCAGAGTGAACAATTCCACCTCCCTCAGGCTTTCCTTTCATGGCAGATGCTTCAGTCACCTTCATGGCCTTGCTAACTTGTTTCAGTACCCTTGGACACATCAGGTGTTGAATATCTGTGGCTGTGGATATATAGATATATATAGATATATACACACACATATATAGATATATATACACACACACCTTTTTTTAGACTTGAGATAGGGAGGATGGTCCAGACTCTCCAAGCGTTGAAAGCATTGGCTGTGTTTGAAATGAATAATCCCTGGGAGAACCCAGATTTAAGGGTGTTGTCAGACAGAATGAAAATGAAACAAAGGGAAATGGTTTTATCTGTGCATGTGTGGAGGTTTTGCAAGCTGTACAAACTGTAAGGACCTGGTTTCTCCGCAGCGCTTACGGAGAAGTTTGCCTCCAGGACTGCTGAGACGAGTGTCCTCAACCTGGACCACAACAACATCAGCCACAGGACTGCCCACTCTGGAGCCAGCCCCAGTGAGAAGGGACCGCAGTGCCAGCATCAAACCTCACGAATCTTCTTCATCCAGGTTACAAAAGGCCTCCTCTCACTTTTATGTTTCTTTTCGGGCAGATTTCTTTGGTTCTGTGTTCAAAATGCATCCAAAAATGCTGGCTGTGAACTGTGCTAGAATTACTTCTTTGTGTTTCTATAAATTCATTTGACAAAGAAGCAGCATTCCCATTTTTTGTCAGATTTTGCCAAAATTATTGGGCAGAAAAATAATTTTTTTAAATATATTTATGCTAATGAAGTGCAGAACTGCCCAATAAAATTGGAAGAAAGGCAAGATATCTGGTTAAAGTTTTCTTAATGTGCGGGGGTTGCCTATGTGGTTATTGCCCAGCCAAGAAAAACTGCAGCAATTAACCCAGCAATTTCTAAGAACACACCTACTGACGTGGTCCTGTCATTAAACCCGTTCCTAAAGCACTTCTCCATCTCCCATTCTTCTCAGGGTCTGATCCCTGAGCTGGAATCATGCAGCACATGGTCCTCCTGTGAAATGGAGAGAGCGTTGTGTCTGCTCAGCTGCTTATAACCAGCAGCCAGCTTGTTTGGGGAACGTGCAGAGGTTGTAATAAAAGTTGTACTAGCTCCACATTGTGTCATTACAACAGGATTCCCTCCTTTCTGGCTTTGTGAATACTTTTCTGTTCTAGTCAGAGAGGAGCAGAGCCTTCAAAGGAAGGGGAAGAGCAGCAAGTTGTGGTATCACCCCATGAGAATAAAGTTCAGGTCCCCTCCCTGCCTCTGCAAGGGCCATCATCTTGGAGCTGGTGGATGAAGGAGTGTGGAGACACTGGGGAAAGGAAGATCAGAATGAAAGCACTACGTTCAAGAAGAGAATTCAGAGCTGTGATGTCAGAACTCATGTGCTTTTCTGAAATTCCAAATTTGGTGCTGGTAGTGGGGACGAAGATAGTACTTTGGAAGGCCACCGTCACCAGTGTTGGCTGTTGGATAGATTGGGGAAATGCAGCCCCAAAGGGCAGCTTTCTTCCAAGGCAGGCTTTTTTTCAGATTCCTCAATCTGTCCCGTGGACGAGGCTGTCATACAGGGTGTGGAGGTGCTCAAGGCAGCCTGCAGAGTGCAGAGGTTGTAATAAAAGTTGTACTAGCTCCACATTGTGTCATTACAACAGGATTCCCTCCTTTCTGGCTTTGTGAATACTTTTCTGTTCTAGTCAGAGAGGAGCAGAGCCTTCAAAGGAAGGGGAAGAGCAGCAAGTTGTGGTATCACCCCATGAGAATAAAGTTCAGGTCCCCTCCCTGCCTCTGCAAGGGCCATCATCTTGGAGCTGGTGGATGAAGGAGTGTGGAGACACTGGGGAAAGGAAGATCAGAATGAAAGCACTACGTTGAAGAAGAGAATTCAGAACTGGGACATCAGAAGACTCGCGTGCTTTTCTGAAATTCCAAATTTGGTGCTGGTAGTGGGGACGAAGATAGTACTTTGGAAGGCCACCGTCACCAGTGTTGGCTGTTGGATAGATTGGGGAAATGCAGCCCCAAAGGGCAGCTTTCTTCCAAGGCAGGCTTTTTTTCAGATTCCTCAATCTGTCCCGTGGACGAGGCTGTCATACAGGGTGTGGAGGTGCTCAAGGCAGCCTGCAGAGTACCCTGAAAGTCTCATGCAAGAAAAACACGTGGTTTGCCAAAGTTCCCTTTGTGAGAAGTCCCATCTGCCTCAGTAAAAGTAAATATAAGGAAGCTGTAACCAAATGCAAACGTTCTTCACTCACAGACCTGTGGTTCCTGGGGTGCATTTGATTTATGCTGTTGATCCCACTCTCACGTAGTGTGTAAGTGTCCCAAGATGGGAATCAGAGGGAGAGCAATTAAATATTATTGTTGGTCCTTTCCTGTGGTTGTTATATAACCCTGCATGAGGAGCCAGCTAAGCAGGCTATCAATTCTTCCTATGTTTAATGTCATAGCCAGTTGTGTAATTATAGCTCTGTCAAGCCTCCCAGCCTACTGTTTGCACTACTTCTTTCACAGTAGGAGAAACAATGTGTATTCCAGAAAGGGAGGAAATGAATCCTATAAGTCTAGCTTTAAAAATTTTGGCAGACCAAGAGAGATCTGCTTTCAAGGAGAAGAATTTTGAGCAGAAGAGAAAAAAATTTACCTTGGTTATCTGCCACTTCCCCTGTACCAAATTCAAGCGCTCCACTGGTACAGAGAAAGAAACATTTCATAAGTTGAACAGTAGGAGAGAGGCTGATGCTGGAATTGCCCTGTGGCACATTCTGTAGTTACAAAACATGCAACTTGTTCCTGACCATGTGGGACATGACTTCTGGATTTCTGTAGTCACATATTAGCAAAAGTCCCCCATAACTGTCAGTTTGAGATTGGTAATTCTGTATTCATCTAACCCCATGTCACTGAACTGGGTAGACATTATACCGTAAAAATAATAGAGCTCCCACATTCTTTCCCTCAACCACTTTTATATCAAGTGATTCTCCTGTAGGAACTCAAAAGAATGTGGGTCAGAGATGTTTGGTTTGGTTCATTTGGGTTATTTTACTCTACAGTGGGCCAGTGTGTTATATTCTTCACAACAATTAAAAAACAAAGCAAAACTGTAGAACAAACAATTTATTTAAAAAAAAAAAATCTGTATTCTTTCTTTGCCTCCCTTCATCACAGAGTTTAAGAATTTGGGCCCATGAAGACAGTCAGCAATTATTTTTGTAGGTAGTACTTACTATTCCAAAACAAGGTGCATGCAGAGGTAACACAGCATCACATGCTTTTTTCTTTCAGGGTGATTTTTTTAATCCTTCAAGTTTATTTTTTTCAAGCTCAGCTGGAGCTATGCTACTTTAAAAGTCTGTCTTCAGTGTTGAGTGTCATCTCATCACTTGGATGTGAGGCTGTGAGAAGTGTGGAGCCTGAGCTGCCTGGCAGACCTGTCCAGAGAGCTCACAGCTTGAGAAGAGCCAGTGCTGTATCCCTGCAAGAAGCTGACATTTGATGGGTGTCATTCAGGAAAGTGATTAGAAATACAGTTTTCTTGCTGTGCAGAAGATTTGGCCTCTTCTGCCATACAATTACCACCCAAAGGCTAAAAGCATGAACCCATGCTGCTGCAGGGGACTAACATTTGTTCCCCACACACAAGGACACATGCACCCAGATTCCTTCAGCAGAATTCTCTTGCACTGATGTCTCCAGAGTCTGAGAGGTCTTGTATTTGCAGGGCTTCCAGACAAAGGAAGGAATGATGAATCTGACTCCATGTTCTCAGAAGGCTAATTTCTTATTGTATTATATTATATTCAAGAATACTGTACTAAACTATACTAAAGAATACAGAAAGGATACAGACAGAAGGCTAAAAAGATACTACTGGAAAACTAGTGACTCTTTCTAGAGCATCAACACAGCTTGACACTGATTGGTCATTAAGTCAAAACAATTCACATGAAACCAATGAAACAATCTCCAACCACATTCCAAAGCAGCACAACACAGGAGAAGCAAATGAGATAATATTGTTTCCTTTTTCTCTGAGGCTTCTCAGCTTCCCAGGAGAGAAATCCTGGGCGAAGGGATTTTTCCAGAAAATGTGACTGCCACAGAGAAGAGCATTTTTTTTGGGATACAGCAGGCATTTCACCTGGTTAGGGCATGAAGAGGCACAGCACTAACCACAGCCATGCAGGATGCTTCCAGTCCTCCCAGCCTCCTGAGGAATTCCTCCAGTGCCCCTAGGGTGGTTGTGTACCTGTTGTGGCACCAGCAGCTGAGAATTTGGGTCACTTCTGGCTCTTTTAAGGAGGTGTTAAAAGAGAATATAAATTTAACTTTATATAATGAGCAATATAATGAAGGCATCTTTGTATAAATAAGGCAAATAGGTCTCAGCACTGAGGGAAGATTTCAAGCCTCTTTGTGCTGTCTGAGCAATATAATGAAGGCATCTTTGTATAAATAAGGCAAATAGGTCTCAGCACTGAGGGAAGTCCAGCTTTGGACTGTCTGCACTGTAAATATTTTTGCTGAAGGTGGTACTGAGTGCCTCACAAAGACCACTTCAGCCAGCCCATGGATGTTTCCCTCACCAGATTTTGAGCTGTCTCAGTATCACGTACTCCTTGCTGCAGCTCCTACCTTGATAAGATCTGCCACTGGGGCTTTTTCCCGTGTTGAATGTTGCTTGTTTGTGCTCTGGTTTGGCAGCTCTGACTCCTGGAACAGCTCCATTCTGATGACCATCACAAAGAGCAGGTCCTTCTCCACCTCCTATGCCGTGTCCTCCACCAACCACCTGAATACCAAGAGGCAGAGCCGCCAAGGTGAGTGGGCACCCCAAGCTCTGGAGCTCTGGCAGCCTGGCCCAACTGTGGCAATAAATCACATGGACTCTGTTTTCTTCGTGGTGGAAGAAGCCCATTCTGTATTCACTTTTTTGTACAGTTTTACAGACCTCGTGGGTGACTCCAGTTGGTCAGGAGCTTTCTTGCCAATTATTTATTGGTAATTAACAAGTTGTTATTCTGTATTGATTGTTCATTCAAACCCCTGGGGTGTACATGCAGGAAAAGTTATTTGTGAGAGATAGTTTTCATTTTTCTATCTAATGGTGTGAAAACAGTTTATGCAGGTGCAAGTTGTTTTTTCACCCAGGAACAGATAGTTATGTTAACAAACTGCTCACACCAGGATTGCTTTCACATGGGAACTTGCAAAGTGCTGGGTTTGACAAGGCCAGCCACTGATTTCAGGAGAGCAGGCTTGATTTTATGAAGCCTTTCTTTGTAACTTTTCTACCTTACTGCAACACTTAGCTGCTCCCTGTGACTAGGTGATGCACCTGCTTTTGTTCTCTGTCCAACCTTCTGCTTTTATTATTTTTCCATCAATATAATATGGTTATTCAATTTATTTAAACAAAAAAAAAAAACACAACAACCCAACACAGTTGCTTAAAGTACTACATATTGTAGTCATGCCCTTTGTAAATGTTTTGACTCTTGATTTACAGAAGTTAGCCATGACACAATGCAGCAAGTGAAACACTAAATTGTGATTTATATCTTTGTAATTCCCTTGGCTATAGCAGGGTATTTTGCATAACGTTTGTGGCATTAGCTGTCTGTGCATATTCCTTGTGTGAGATTTCCTGAAGCACAACCTTCCTGAATCCATTTTGAGCTGGAAGCAGAAACTGGCTTGTCTCATGCACACATGTCCAAGACACAGCCTTTGGAACTCAGAGGTCTACCTGTGTATATTCACTACTGAGAATATACAGGTCATTCTTACTGGTTTTTAGAGATGACAAATATGGGGTTTTTCACTCGGCCTTTTGAGCCTTTTAAAAAAACATCACTCCTGAATTTCTTTCCTGAAAGAAATTAAGCTGATTTTGGAATTGATAATGAAATGTGTAACTTGACAGCCATGAAGCACCTTTAATCCACAATAATGTGGTTCTCCTCTCTCTACTAATGCAGTATAACATGCTGTTTACCCATGATTCAACTCATAATCCAAAATTATCACAAGGCTTCCTTTTTCTACCAGCCTGCTTTTTATCCAAACATAAATACTATTGAGATAATATTACTCAGAGCTCCTGGCTACCCAGCTATCAGACAGAAATTGATAGAAGGCTGAGGCCTGACATTGGAAAAGTCAGAGAATCCCAGCTTGGAGATGAGTTTGAAGATAGGGCTGCACAATTATTTTGCATTTCTGGTGCTGTCACATCACATCACCTTTTCAAACTGAAGAGAACCATAGAGAAGATATTTTCTTGCACAAAGCTGCTTTGTTTTACCACAGTGAAGATTAAGTAGTACCATATTACCTTAAAAAGTAATAGGCACAAAGGCAAATGAATAAAATTTAACCTGGAAAATAATGGAGACAGGGTAACAAGAATCCAGGGATTTGCTTTAGAAAGAAATGAACATTTCACTTGTGACTTTCAGAGATTATCCCAGTAAACTGAGAGGGAGAGGAGTGGGTGTGTAATATCTTGTACTTGGAAAAAAACAATTATCAAGCCCATCAGTCAGTTTTACTTTTAGCAATTTCTGCTTTCAGAAAGTATTAATAATTACCTCTGTTGTCCGAAGACAAGAGCTCCCCCATGATGGAGGAAGGTCTCCATTCCATCATGAGCAATTCCTAGGGATGCTGGTGGAGGGGAGTAGAAACTTTGCATCAGTGCATTGTGTAGCAGATTGATATTACAGCAGTTTAGACTATTTGTAATCATGTATTTTTAGTTATGATTTGTTTTCATGTTCCAGCTAAATAATTCCTTCAATTTGCACTAGTTAATACAGTTTAGACTTTTATTTATTAGCTCCATTGGTAATATACAATTATTACTAGTAGAAGTTGATCTAGCTAAATCTGTAAATACATAAGTTTATAAAATGTGTCTTTAATTATGCATGAAAACATTCTCATTTTAAAATACTGCTAGGTCTACCTATTTTGGAAAAAAAACTCAAGTGTTTTCATATGTAATTTTGCATCACATTGAATTCACTTGTTTATATCTTCAACACTGCACATTTGAAAAAGTTCTGGAGGACCTAAGTGCATATATGTACTTAAATAACTCTTTGTATTTTTATGCTTCTCTTATCTTGGTCGTGAAAAAAATCCTTGCTCTGTAGCAAGACACATTTTCTCTCAGTTTTGCCAGTAAATGGCTGAATGTTGGATTATTTAAAAAGGTTTGCTTTTTTCTGGTAATTTTATTTGAGGTTACCTTCCCTGGTAAATTATTTTCTTTAAAAAAAGCCATAAGTACACACAACAAAAAGTATTTCAAAAGACTGGATCTCTACTAGCAGTAGAAAGCTTGCTGTGATTAGAGAACTTATTGTGAAAAGTTCTGTTTAAATTCTCAGGACATGTTTCAAATTGTTGAAAGAAGACCATATGTATTGCATCCTCTAAGAGTTATGAATATTATTTGTAACATATATCTCAAAGATAGACAATAATCCAACTCAATCCCCTGTGCAACTAACAGGCTGTGAAATGTTTTTTAAGACACATTTTTGTTGGATGGAAAGCTGATATCTCAATGAATTGATAAATGTGAAACAGAGGTTTCCTGTATTTTAGAGCCATTTCCCTGTGTCCTGGCCATCTGATAACATTTTAATTGCTCTGAAGGCTGTAGTGTTCTAATCTCAAGACTGGCATTATATCCTACTTGCAATCATTGAATTAACACACTAAATGCATACCACATTTGCTGCAGAAATACCCTTAATCAAAGCAGAGATGCTGGATATCTCCAAATTACAGCACAGTAACTATCAGATTTTGTTTTCTTTTTTTAAACTCTTGGATTGTCAACAGTAAATCGTATTTTAGCCTCCTATCACAGTAGGTTTCTATCAGGGAAAAAAACACTGGAACTGTACACGTATATCCTGCAAGGTTAATATTTCATAAACTTAGATCCACATATTGCCTTAAGATAATTTTTGTGTCTGGAATGCATTTAGAGAGAGGGCAAAATTCAAACATAAAACCCCTTCAATTTCCTAAGGCCTTGCTGTGCTTTGGCTTTGAAGATGAATGTGGTAGTTTAACTGGGGGTGAGTGCCTACAAACCTCAGCACAGGGGGTAACTTAATTTTCATGCATTTCCTTTCAAGATAGATGAGGTTTGCTCCTCTGCACTTTGAGTCTCATTTTGTCTGAGACTAGGAATTGTAAAGTGGATTCCAAAAGAAGGCAGCACTTTGATTAAACAGTGGATGCATTTCACCTTGGCAGTGGTGCTCGGGTGGAATAAGGGGCAGAGAGAAGTGCACCTTGCTGGTGTTGCACATGTGGATGTTGGCAGTTTCTGTGCTCCAGCTCAGGTGTACACTAGCATGTGCTGCAGAAATGGTTGCAAGTCTCCCTTAGTGAGCAACAGATACAGAAAAATAAACTCAAACTGAAGATCAAGGCCAAAATCTTTGAGAAATGTCCCCAGAAGCACAGTACTTTGTATAATGCATGACTACTAAAAATTGCTCTTTTAACTTTATTGCTAGTCTTCAAACATGTAGAAATCCAAATTTCTGGGAATGTGTGTGAGCCTTGTCCTTGCCTTAGAGATGGTGAGAGAGAAACTGCAGATGGCTGTGGGACCTGCCTGTTTGGGGCTGTGTCTCTGTCACCAGCACATGCTGATACCAGCAGTCGTGCCACAAACTCCTCTTTCATTTCATGCCTGTCCACTCAGTGCATCCTGCTCACCAGGGAAAATATGCTTTGTGTTTGAGCCAGATCTTCAGCAGGTAGAAGTGCCTGATAGCAGTGGAAGTTGATCACTCTGTGAGAGCCCTGGGCTTGGCTCAGAGTGGAGAAGGGTATTCTCTTATCTGTTTTGGTTTTGGAGACCATGCTGGTGCATCTCAAGAAGAGTATTTCTGCACAGTGAACTAATAAATCATCTGCCACTTCTGTTAATTGACAAGACTGCTCTTGTCCTTGGCCAGGTATCCCACCAAATATTTCACCTCTCACCTCCCCGTGCCATTCACCGATTCAGGGGACGCCTGCCACGAGTCCTACTGGGAAAACATCTTCTGTGTCATTTCCAGAGCCTACAGACACTGACACCAAGCAGGGCCTAAAGCCACACAAAGTCTTAACTTCTACTCAGAGTGCACCTAGCCTGTCAGACCCTGTTATCAGCCCCTCCATCATCTGCAGCAGGTAAGATGATAATTTGACGTGCCTTGCAATCATTTCACACTGTTCTCATGAACATGTTCTGTTGCCCCACATACAAGTTTTTGTGATTTACTACAGTGTTTATATTGATATTTCAGGTTTATAGTACTTCAGTAAATGTGTAGATCAATGCTACAAAATACTTTTAAAGTGGGAGACTGCTGGGTATATTTATTGCTATGTTTATTGCTTTTACTCCTGTCAGATGGACAGCCTGATTCCTAAACAAATTCTCTGTCAATGACCTGCAGATCCCAAAGTTGGATTTCATGTTTACAACTTGTGTTTCTGGAGCCATGCCCTTGGCATGAGCAGTCACCTTTAGGTCACAGGCCAAGGCTTGCACAGCAGGCACCTGATGTAGCATAGAAAAATCTGACTGCTAGGGCCAGCAGTGCCTGAAGACTCTGTGATTTTGAGCCTTCTCAAATCACTCAGGAGCCACTCTCTCAGGAGGAGTGGGTCCTTTCTTCCCTAGTCAGAGTCAGATTAAGTACTGTGGGGACTTCTTTTTTTCCAGAAGTTAACTGCAGATGAGTTCTTTCTACTGCTAAGAGCTCCAGTAACACAGTTTAATTTCTTACTTTAAAGTACACCTTTACTAGGTAACACAGACCAGACCTGCTTTGCAAAATTTTGGAAAGCAAGTTGTTCTGCTTATCTTCCCAGAAAGGATTCAGTTGCTAAATCAAATTACTGGAGTTTGCAGTATGTGTCCAGTTCAGAACACTGGAAAACACTGGTGCTCCCAAGCCTGTCCCAGTGCAGTTTCAAGGTTGCTTTACTCTCCAGATGTTACTTTTGGCCGTAGCACGAGTGGCCAGCCAGCAGAGAGCACGGCTCTTATCAAGTTTGACTATCTTTGGAAGTAGTTTTTAGTTTCTGCCTTCAGGCACATGACTTTGGATGTGTTTCAATGTGCTGTGTGCAAGGCTAGGAAGTGGCTGTGAGAAAGTCAAAACTGAGACTGCAACTTTGCTCTAGGGAGTCATCCTCACTGGAGTTCGGAGTAGGATCCAAACAGGCTTTTGAGATGGATTTAGATGACTAAACAGAAACTTAAGTGCTTTTATGAGTTTTCCAAAGGAATACCAGAATTGGGATTTGGAGAGATTAATTTGAAATTAACATGATATTACACAACAGAAATATAGCATAAAGGTGCTGCAGTCTTATTAAGCTGTGCCTTTATTATCACTTCAATAAAATACTGTTATTTCACAAATGGCATTCATTTCTGGAAGCCTTCTATTAAAAAGAACAGGGCTTTTTTGACATTTTTAATGCAATTCTTAAAAGTTAAGAATTGCATTAAAAATGTCAAAAAATAATCAGTGTAAGGTTGTTGTAGGTAGTAATGAAATTAATACCTTTTTAATCTTGTTTATCAACCTTCTAAATGTTGTTTATCAACCTGACTGATACAAGATTTATTTGCTTGACTGTGCGCTACAGGTATCACTGAATACACATTAGCATTCCTGGAAGTCTTTCAGGAACTCATAATGTTTGCAGGGCATACCAAGCTCCAGGATATGTTTGGATGACCCAGCCAAAAGCTACCTGGCACAGGAATTAAGCCATTTTTACATGTTGAGCTTCAAATGGTGCAAAGGTTCTAGTACAAAATCTTACCAATCCAAGTAATTCTGTAATAGCTGCTTTGTGAAGACTGTTATATATAAGATAGGCCACAAAATGCTGACTCAAACCAGAGAAAATGTTAAAATGTCAGGTTGTAATTAGGGTTTAAAGGGAACTATAGAAAAGGAATAAAACTTTTTAATGGAAGGGAAGAGCCAGTCATTTGAAAAGGTCATCATATTGTGATTCCTCCCAAAATGTGTTTCTGTTCTGGAAATGATGAAGCAAGCTCTGCCCTCTCGGTTCTTATGTAATTGGTATGCTGTCACTGAAGTAATAATGAAATATAATTTTTCCTCCTTAAGAGGAGCATACTGAGATTTGAGGCAAGAAGAGTGACGCCAAATAATGACTGTGGTCAAACTGAATTCTACAAGATTGTATGAGACTCTGGCACAGTTTCATAATTTTAATTTGTCTTTATAGTGCAGCTGTAGTATAGAATTAGGAGGTTTATTTTGTGCTGGTATACTTACAGAATAATAAAAAAATATTTAATGGTTGAGATTTACTTCTGAAAACACGAATTCAAAAATATAATGGTGGTGGGCAGTTAATCCAAGGTCTTTCTGTATTTTTGTCCCGAGATCCAATAAAACTTCAGCATTCTCTTGTGATTTTGTCTGGAGAACATACCCTGGACCATGAATTATACTGTATGACATAATCTCACACTGCCAGTGGGAAATCCTTTTACACAAGACTGTAAGGCATGTGGTTCTTCATATTGTGTGTGTTTCTTGATGTATTTCAGCTGTGGCAGACCCTACAACCAAATAGAAGCTGGTAATGGGACACTAAATAGAAATGATGCTACTACACATACCCTGAACAGAACAGGTAATTCTTTGTCAAAAACACCTTGTTCCCTCAAATTAAGTAATTATCCGCTGAAAGGGCAGATGAGCTTGTCTGTCATAAAAGGAGCACACACACAGGTGAGTCCATACAAATTGTATTTGACAATTTCATGTCCAAATGCTCCTTCCCTTCTCGTATGTACAGCATGTACAAAATGCTTATGAAGTTAAAATATAAAGGTTATACTGTTCCCCTCAATTTACTTAAATAATGGTCCTCAATTTTTTTTTTCTCTCTTCATTCCCTGCTGCCATTTTTTACACTCTGCAGGGTGTATCTTTAATGCCCTCGGACAGATTGTCCGACCTCGGAGCCAGCCAAGCAGCACATATGTAATATGAGTCAGAGCTCCTGTTGCTGTTACTCAGAAGGTCACAGGCTGGCTCCCATGAAGCCCTTGCTGTTCACACCACAAGCTTTGTGATTTGTGTTTGCAGATGATCCTGCTCAGGCCACTTCTGACTACGAGACCAACAACAGCGACAGCAGTGACATCGTGCAGAACGACGACGACACGGATTGCTCCAAGGAGCAGCCACGGAAGGGATCTGGCTGTAGGTCCTACACGCCCGAGACCATCATCCTGCACCCCTTGACACCACCTGAGGTAGCTCCTCCGAGTTCCCCCAGCACAACAGAATGAGTGTATGCTGATGCTGAGGGGGAAAAAAAAACCAAAATGAAAACCGAACTAACCAAAAACCCAGATCCCCATAGAAAAAATGTGGTCTAAGGGTGCTGCAAGGTATTATTGTTTTAAACAGCAAATGTTGCAGTGTGATGAATGAGTGATGATTGTCTCACAGCATTCAGATGTGAGCTTGGTTGAGATGCAGAGGGAAAGCTCTGTTTAGTTCAGTTTTCCACAGTCTGTTGTACAACTGAATTAATAATCTGCAGTTGGCAGGACTGATGATTGTCTCACAGCATTCAGCTGTAAGCTTGCTTGAGAATGAAGAGAGAGAGCTTTGTTTAATTCAGTTTTCCACAGTCTGTTGTACAACTGAATTAATAATCTGCAGTTGGCAGGAGCTCTTGAAAAATTTATTGTAATCTGCTGGAGTTGGACATGCTGAGAGAAGGCATTTTGTTTGAAATGTTCTGGCATTTATTCATTCCAGTTCTTAAGTAAAATGAAATTCCAGGGAGTATACTGGGGGAAATGTGAAAGGAGAGGCACAACCCAACTTTTATTTGCAGACCGTGAAAAATAGATAGGTTTCAGCTTAAGGACTACAAATCTTCACTTGGACTGAGCTCTGTTAGCCATGTTAGAGTCTAGTGAATGGGTCCTGATGCAGAAGCAGAAACTGGGAGCTTTTCTCTCTGTACCACAGTGAATTTCACAATGAAGGCAGCCTCCCTTGGAAATGAATGAATGATTCCCATGAGTGAATGAATGAGTGAGTCTCAGTGCTAAGTGCAGACACTGCTGTTTCATAAACAGAATTTCATATCCATTCAAGTGAAACGCATTACAAAGGAGAGGGAGTAGCTGCAGGGCTGCAAGAAATGAGGACATCTACACTGAGCTGAGTGAAGTACCACTGACTTGCACATCATGCTAATGTGACTTTAGCTTTTAAGAGCACCAATTTTTGCTTGAGATGCTCCACTGAACTAACAACCCTTTTTATTCTGATTTCTGGCACAGGACAAGCCTGTACTGGCTCCTGAGCCCCTGGTTATGGACAACTTGGACCCCCTGATGGAGCAGCTAAATAGTTGGAACTTCCCAATCTTTGATTTGGTGGAAAAAATTGGGAAGAAATGCGGTCGGATTCTGAGTCAGGTGAGAGGTGCACCTTGTCTGCAGGGTCTAAATGTTGACAGATTTAGATACAAACATGTTCAAAGGCATTGTCATTACAAGCTGATGATCCAATGAACTGTGATCCCTGACACCTGATTCAAAGCTGACAATATGAACTCTGCCTCATTATATTCCTTACTTTTGAATGTCTTTATTTTTAAATTTAAAAATGTGAAAGATAAAAGTCATGCACCTATTTTGCCTTCTGCTCCCTGCTTTTCTGAATATTCTTTTGAGATGCTTCCAGCCCTTACTGAGTGCTTTGGGAAAAGATTTCTCATGGGGTTTAGCATGGGAGGGCTAAACAGTAAATATACTCAGTGGATGCAAGATACACACAGTTTTTGGTCCTCTTATATACTGAAGATTTCAGTATAAGATCCCAGAAATAAATAGGTTTCAGATTTCAGGCTGGGCAAGAAAGAAGGTTTGAGGAAGTGGGAGTAGAAAGAATTCTTGCTATACTCTCTCATTTTTAAAGAATCAGAACTTTGAGAGAAAATTCATATAATATCACATAGGGAAGATTGCTATGAGTTGGGAGAGCTTTCGAGTCTTTCTTTCAGCTCTCAGGTTTTTATTCCTTCCTGGGGGTTTAATTCAGTTACTGGCACAGCCTGTGTCTAGCCAGCACGATTAGTGTCACCTCCCATAATCACTTTCTTGGCTGAACTTTCTACTCTCTTATGCCCCTTTTCCTGGCACACTGACAAATTCGTCATTTTTTTCTTATAGAAATACTGAAGATTATTAAACAGGAAAAGCAAGTCATTATTTGTATTGTTATTTAGGGATGAAAGGGAAAAAAAAGCCCCAGAGAATCAGACTGAACGAGGATCAGTTTACAAGGCATTATGCAGTGATGAGTGCTGGAAAGAAGAGATAAAGTTAATTGGTACAATGTGGTACAATTATCACCCCCCCAGAAACACAGAGGTCAGTGTGTCAGGCAGATTTCAGTGTAACAAGCTCCAGAGAATGCTGGATCAAATCACAGTCCCTTGGTGGTTACCTATTATTCAGCTCGATTCAATTATCTGCTGGTCAACAAGGAAAACCATGGCATGAATTCACATTTATTCTGTGGCCTGCCTTTTTTGTTCTGCAGCTTGGCAAGCAACATTTGAGTTTGACCAGCCTGCCAAGTCCCTAGGTTCACTTTAGAGAAATAGGCAAACTGTGGATATTGGATATATTTATTGGATAAACTCAGAGATGCTCACTGAGGCACTTTTGCACTGGACAGTGAGTGTGTGACGTGTGAAATGCTCTTCTGGATCATACTGCTCATTTTTCTAATAGCATGGAATGATAATAGAATGATGAATGAAACGTAAGGAAAATCAGAACTTTCTTTTAATACCATAAAGAACAGTTTGGATGAGCCAGAGTTTGTTCTGGTTTTACATGGGTCCCTCTGCAGGCTTTAAGCACTTCACAAAGCTCCATGGGGTTCTGTACCTCTGGACACAAGTCCTCTGTGCTTCCCTCAAATTGCACTAAATCTCCTCAATCTATTTCCCAGAATCTGTTTTTTGCACAGGTTCTCAACATGTTACCCACTACACAGTTCCACGAAATGAGACTTGAGAAATGAAATAGAGAAGCTTTAATATTTGTGACGAAAATTCTACATTTTCTGTAACAGCTGTTCATAATAACTCCTTCTCCCTAACAGCAGAATATAGCATATTATACCTTGTTCACAAAATAGAGATCCTTATTACCCCCACCTCCTCAGATGTTGCTAATGAAATTATTTTCAGAAATCAGGAAACTAGAATAAATAAATCTTTTTCTCCAGCCAAAAGCACTATTTTTGTCCTGGTTTGATTTTTAAATCCTGGGATATTTTTAACAAAGGCAAACAAAAGCTCTTATGATTTATTCTCAGTATTTTGTTATCAAATGGACTAACTCATTAAAAAAAAAAAAGTCAATTAAAAAGCTGAATTAACTGTTTGCCATGCTAGGTTAAATTTATGAGATGGAACAAAGCAAAGTTGACACATGCCTCCAGGGAAGCATTCAGTTTAGAAAGCAAATGCTGGCTTAGCATCTTTGAGGCTGCTTGAGATATCTGTTCCTTCTTTGTGGAATGTTAAATTGATTTAGACATAGGAAAAGACCCTAAACCAGTCAGGAGCCATGAAAGCATCTGTGCAAACTGGAGTGGCAAGCTCAGGCAATGTGGCAGTGACAAATGTACATTAAAGGGTTCAGAGAGGAGCATAAATTCATTCTCATTTCAGAAACGAAGAGCCAAGCTCTGAGAACTGAGCGGTTGCTTCAATTCATTTCCTTTTTTGTTATTCTTACCCTAAAAGTCCACAGTGGCAGGGCATTTGGAGTTGATGTTCATGCAACTTTAGGTGCAGCTCATAGGTTCCCATTTATATATAAAATATACAGATACAAGCAGGTATGAATAGATGTTTGAATTATACTCAGATGTAAAACACAAAGTGTAATTTGTGACCATTTCTTGCCCTAGAGCACCCATCAGTCCAAATGTGCTTCAAGTTGCTTTAGCTCTGGGTGGGTCATTACCAGTGAGATGGCACCAAAAGGACAGAATTTAGCTGACAGCAGTAAATAAATAAAGATTCTGCAAGGCTTTAGGGTCCGGTTTGTGACAGAAGTGAAAAGATCAGGCAGTGATTTTACTGTGTCCCGTTATTTTGTATGTCAAACTTGTCTTCAGTAGTGCCCATTTTGTGTCAGCTGCTGCCTGCATTTCCGAGCATTCATCTCTCCTGAGCATCTCCCCATAACGCTTGGCATTCCCCTTCCCAGTGCATCCTCTCCTGGATGTTTGCACTTAGAGCAGCTCTGCCTCCTGAGCTCTTTGCTGCCCCTGATATCCTGGTGGAGTCATTGTCATCATTTCACCACCAAAACTGGAGAGAAAGCAAGGACACAATGCAGAGGAGCCACGTGGTTCCTCCTTCTGTCAGTCCTTTGCTTGTTCTTCCTTTTCTGGGAATTGATTTGAGCCAAGGATTTGGGAAAATACTCCCAGGAAAGCAAATTCTTAATGAGGTAATTCAACTTAAGGAGTTTTGTATCTAATTTGTATAGTTTTTCTCATCTATGGGTTTTTTGTTTGTTTGTTTGGTTGGTTTCTTTCTTTCAGGTATCATACAGGCTTTTTGACGACATGGGGCTGTTTGAAACCTTTAAAATACCAGTGAGGGAATTTATGAACTACTTTCATGCCTTGGAGTGTGGATACCGAGAGATACCTTGTAAGTAAAAATTCCTGGCACGTAATGATGCTTGCCACAAGTTTTGGGGATTTTGTATTGAAGCCTTTCTTCTTGCATTATAAAGCTACTTTTTTTTTCTTCCAGTACATCATGACCAAGTGGATGGCTAGGCAGAGGCTGGTGCTGAACCACAGCCTGTCATCTTTTTCTCTTTGTATTTCATCTTTTACATTGTTTCATAATTCATGGCAAAATCTGCCAGAAATCATACAAAGTTGTTATTAGTAAAGACTGTTTCCTGACAATGCAAGTGTACCCCAGTGCTCCAGTTGGAGGTTCTTGAAATATTTAACCCCCTGAAGGCAACGTGGACTTTTACACAGTAGCAGTGTTATCTACCAAAGGAGATGAGCTTTATAAGCAGGAAAAATATACCCAAAACATGAGTGAGCCCTGTTCTGTTACTACAGCTTAGCTGATATTTTTCAGTGGGAAGCATTTATTTCCTGAAAAACCTGTTTTCAGTCATCCCCAGAGTATTTGCTAATTCAAATTTATCAAAGTGCTTCAGCTGCAAAACAGTGAAAAAAAAAGGAAAGACTGATCACCCCCTTTAGGTGGCAGATAAACCCTGCACTGGGGAACATAGAACACCCTGTTTTCTCTACACTCACAGAAAAGTGTGGGAAAAATCATTGTAAGTCATGTAGTCTCTCTGTCAAATATTAAATACCAATTGGAGCAGTGGGAATGCTTTAAGGAAAGCTACCTCAAAATGCCTTCAGCCAGGTGGTTTGGAGTCTCTTCTGGGAAAGAGAGACCCAGTTTTGATCCTTTCCTTGTGTTTGAGCTGGATCAGGGATCTTAAGCAGCATGTCACAGCCTGAGGAGGTTAGGGATGGAAGTCCCACAGCCTGTCCTGCTGAAGCCATTCCTTTCTGTCTAAAACATTTAACTATTCTTAGAGTCTCTGGGATTTTTATGAACCTAGCACTCTATTTTTTTCTTAACTGATTTTTTTTATTTACTAAAGAATAATCTCTTTCTAATACAAAATCAATTTATCTTCTTTTTTTTTTTTTTTCATTTCTGTGAAAAAGGTAAAAGCAGCTCTGGTGCTCGTGCTAGTGTTGGTTTTGTCTCTGCCGGATTGCCTGCCGCTCGGTACCCACTAGATGGTGCTGCTAGCCCTGTGTCAGAAATGCCCTGATGTTTCATAGCTGGGTGGTTTTCTCCCCATCACAGATCACAACCGAATCCATGCCACGGATGTTCTGCACGCCGTGTGGTACCTCACAACCCAGCCCATCCCGGGACTGCCCACTGTCATCAATGACCACGGCTCAGCCAGCGATTCAGGTAGGTTTAAATGTCAGCATCCTGCAGTTTCCCTCCTGACATTTGCTGTCAGAAAGGCAACAGCTGGGGATTGCATGCAGGATTTTTTGGTAGTCTGTAAGAATGTGTTAAAGTTCAGTAGCACAGTGGGTGTTGAAGGAGTTCAGGTGTGTTTGTGTAACTTTGAAGGGAATGGAATTGTTCCTCCAAAACTTAATACTTCATATTTAATGATGTGTGAATGCAAGCCTTTGGGGTCACCTTTAATGACAGATCTTTGTTACCATTTGATTTTTGCAAAAGGTTTTTATTTTTGCAAAAGCTTTTTTCCTAGTAAAACTGCTGTATTAGTGCTTTTCTTTTCAGTGCTGTACCAGAGGCAGCATAGACTTAAATCCTAAAACCTTCATTGTTTTGCTATCTACAGTTTCTGGGGCATGCAGGCAGTGCTGTGCACTTGCCACGCTTGGCTCTCCTGAAGTGTTCTTTGCTTTTCCTCACTATCTCCAAATAAAAATACTTGTTACCATCTGGCAATTGCTTTACAGGAAGCTGTTCTTCTTGCATTTTTGTAATAATTTCTCCATGTTCAGTTGTGGTAACTAGAAGACCTGTCTGTGTTTTGTGGGAGTTCTCAGAGAGTTGCTGGAAAAGCAGGAGTTTGTTCAATTTCTGCTCTTTTTTTCTCTTGGTGTGGTGTTAAATGGTTTTATTCCTGAGAAAAATTTATTAGCAAGGGATTTCAGTGGCTTTGTAGGTAAGGTGGAATGAAAAGGGTTGAGTTCTGGGGCTTTTTGATGTTTGTTATTTGAAAGACATTTTTCAGCTGCATGCACGATCCGTTTGAGGTCATTCAGATTAAATTAGCAAAGCATCTCAGTATCTGTCTCTGACAGGTATGCTCAAGATGCTTCAAAAAGAGGGTGATAAGAGGATTATCAGCAAAGATCCAAAGTCTAGACATTTGTATTGGAAAACATGCACTGTAATTTAATTATTAAATTCTAGTCCATTGCTTTAAGGACTGTCAGTGTCTCATGGACTTGTCTACATGATGAAAGAAATTAGAGAAAGGAGTGGGAAGATCAAGTTTCCTCACAAAGCTCTAGCATGGCTGTGAATCCATGTCTTACTGCTTTTAACTTATATGGTTGCAGGGTAGGTTTTGATGGAGGGCTGGAAGATCCCCAGGTGGGATCAGAATTTGTTCCTTTCCAATTGTTTGCCTTACTGTACTGGATCAAAAGCACTGAGGTCAGGCTGCATTTATCCTTACTGGAACTTTGCTTCTCTTGCAGTAGGTCACTGAAAGAGCGGCCCTGGATTTTTTACTGTTTCCATTTCTTTATTTCTGCTCAGATTCCGACAGTGGCATCACTCACGGCCACATGGGATACGTGTTTTCAAAGACATACACACCTACAGATGACAGCTACGGATGCCTGGCTGGCAACATCCCTGCCCTGGAGCTGATGGCTCTTTATGTGGCTGCAGCCATGCATGACTATGATCACCCAGGAAGGACCAATGCCTTCCTGGTAGCAACGAGTGCTCCTCAGGTAAATAACCCTCAGGCAGTGTTGCTGTACACTTTGGAAGGTCTCGATGGCAGCTTTTCCTTGCTGGTGGTGCCTGTGGCTTCCATTAGCCACAAGTCTGCCAAATATTTTGAAACAGCTTGTCAAAGTGACAGGAATAATCACTTCACTTGGGGATTGCTGGTAAGAGTCTTCTTACACACCCTCAGGTAGCAGAGCTGTTGAGAAAGGTACTGATAAACTGTCAGTGAAGAAGGTAAAGCTCTGCTGACTGATAAAGAACCTGCAACTGTGGAAGAATGGAAGAATTATTCTACCAAGTAATGCTCAGAAAGATTAAATAAAACGTGCCAGTTGTGTAGCTGACTCTGCTTTGCAAGTTACTTGTGCATTATCATAACACATTTTCTGTTGCTTCTATAGAATATGAGCAGTGTCAGTCTTTTTATTAAAATATTTGGAGGCAAGGAGTGGAAAATAATCTCAGTGTTATAAATGTAGGATTGAGGCTTGCCTAAGGTTACATAAAAGTTATTGCCAGTCCTGAGAGTTGAATTCAACAATTCTGTGTCACTCTATTTTGGCTTAATTATGAGATCATCTTTCTTTGCTTTACATAGCTGACCTGCCTGGCTTCAGCACACTGTGCTGAAAAATGCTTCTGTTGATGAGGAAATTTAAAAAAAGATATCTTAATGGTGGAAGGTCAGGTAGAGGTGCAGAAATTGTGGATTTACTCCCCAGCTTGCAACCAAATTTCCTCTGTCACCAAGAGCATGTCACCTGAACTCACTCTGGTGTCACTTTGTGTCTATGAATTGATAGAGATGCTTCTCATCTTTACAATGCATTTCTGTGATCAGGAGCTTTGATACTTTGGCCAGGTAAATAGAGTGGGAGAAGACATGTGCTATCTTTAAATGTACTTGTAAGTAAGAAATAAATGCTGTATCTCTGCTTGTAAAAATCAGAAAAGGAAATTAGATGATTAGCCTTTTTGTATTTGCTCTAGTTTGAAAATAAATTAATAGGAAAAAATAATGTTCTTGTTATTTTCTGAATGGAATTACCATCCCTATGAGAGTTCAGCATCTTATTTTGATAAAGATTTGACGAATTTTGGATTTCAGCACTGAGATATCTGTCAGGCTGAGTATATGTTTTTGGGTTGCAAACTGGAATTTCACCTGTTCCTGTGTTTGGAATCAATCCTACATGGACACAACTGCCTGGTGCAATTACCAAAGAGCGGTAATTCGTTAAGTGAGGCTCATTCTGACAATCAGGGAAGCACACACCCATGTTATGTTAGCCATCAACCTGTGGCCTGAAAAGGATGATCCATGGCTGTGATTTTGCTGAGATGGTTTTGTGTAGATGATTTTGCTGAGATGATTTTGCTGGGATGGTTTGGCCAGGATGGTTTTGCTGAGAGGGTTTTGCCAAGATGATTTTACTAAGATGTTTTTGCCAAGGTGATTTTGCCAAGATGGTTTTACCAAGATGGTTTTGCGAGGGTGATTTTGCTAAGATGATTTTACTAAGATGTTTTTGCCAAGGTGATTTTGCCAAGATGGTTTTACCAAGATGGTTTTGCGAGGGTGATTTTGCTAAGATGATTTTACTAAGATGTTTTTGCCAAGGTGATTTTGCCAAGATGGTTTTACCAAGATGGTTTTGCGAGGGTGATTTTGCTAAGATGATTTTGCTGAGATGGTTTTGCTAAGATGTTACTGTGAACATGATTTTGCTGAGAGGGTTTTGCCGAGATGGTTTTGCCAAGATGGTTTTGCAGAGATAATTTTACTAAGATGGTTTTGCTAAGATGGTTTTGTGTAGATGATTTTGCTAAGATGTTACTGTGAACATAATTTTGCTGAGAGGGTTTTGCCGAGATGATTTTACCAAGATAATTTTGTTAGGATGGTTTGGCCAAGATGGTTTTCCTGAGATGGTTTTGCCAAGATGATTTTGCCAAGAAGGTTTTGCTGACATGATTTTGCTGGGATTGTTCTGCTAACAATGGATGGTTGGCCAAGATGGTTTTACTGAGATGGTTTTGAAAAGATTATTTTACTAAGATGACTTTGCTAAGATGGTTTTGTGTAGATGATTTTGCTAGGGTGATTTTGCCAAGATGATTTTGCTAAGAAAGTTTTGCTGAGATGGTTTCGCTAATATAGTTTTGCTGAGATGATTTTGCTAGGATGGTTCTGCTGAGATGGTTTTGCATAGATGATTGTGTGAAGATGGCTCTGCTGAGACGATTTTGCTAAGATGGTTTTGCCAAGATGATGGTTTTGCTAAGATGATTTTGCCATGGTAATTTTGCCAAGATGTTCCTCAGCTGCCCCTGCCCGCGTTGCTTCCACAGGCGGTGCTGTACAACGACCGCTCCGTGCTGGAGAACCACCACGCTGCTGCTGCCTGGAACCTCTTCATGTCCCGGCCAGAGTACAACTTCCTGGTCAACCTGGACCACGTGGAGTTCAAGCATTTCCGCTTCCTCGTCATCGAGGCCATTCTGGCTACTGACCTGAAGAAGCACTTTGATTTTGTTGCCAAGTTCAATGCCAAGGTGAGATCAGTTTGGATTTCTGGGGACAGTCAGAAAAAACTGTGGGCCTTGGGAGCATCCAGCAAAAAGGGTTTCTGTTTCCTCTGAATGTCCTTTTGGCTGTTGCAAAATGTTGAATAATAATCCAGCCTTTCTGTTGGGTTTTACTCATTTAAAGTTAGTGACACAGCTTCTCTTCTTATATATATTTACTCTTTTTTTTCAGAAAGTGGTTTAAGGCTAAAAATATCACCACCTATTTTTACATTCTACTTTCCAACATTGCTTTCTTGTTCACTGGCACTTTTGGCCTATTAGCAAAGCGCTCAGGGGGGAAAAATCAAAGGTGTTATTACCAAGTTTCCATAATGGCCACTTTAAGTGAATTTTTACTGATTTAGTCGTTCTGTTGTATTATCAAAGCAGAAATCAGAATGGTTTTGACATTCTAATTTCAAATGCTGTGAAAACATGGTCTTCCTTTCCTTTCTCTTTCCAGAGGAAGGTCACTAAACATCTTTCCTGCATGCTCCATTCAATGAGCCATAAAACCACAACCCTGAGAAACCATTCTTAAAAACTGTTTACAGTTTCAACCTAACTCATTGGAAGTTATCTCCTATTAAGATACTTCAATAAACTCCATCACCCATCAAAGCTGTTGGCATGTTAATTAGATACCTGCCCTTGGAGCAGGTAGTGTTTTCTTGTTCCTAGTGAGAAACCCCCAAAAATGGTGTGTTTTGTATCTGGAACCTCCTGGCTGTTTTGGTGGCATGGATAAAATCTTTCCTGTGGCATTACTTAGCACGGATCTGTATGCTGACACTTTGAAGCCTCCACGTGTATGGCTGGGGTTTTTTTCCATTTCCCTGTAACATCTCCCTTTGTCAGGCTTTAAGAAGCTGTGGAGAAAGGTCCTAGATGTGGTCCAGGGTAGAAGGAGATCTGTAGATGCATAAAAGTCTGAGCTCCTTCTGCACCCCTGCCAGTCATGTCCCCTCCAACCTTAACTTTTCTGCTTTTATTTTAGAGCAGCTGACAGTGTGTATCACTGTTTCTTGTGAGAGGTATGGGAAAATAGAGAAAAGGAAAAAGGGACGAAATCATTTCAGCCATGCTTAGATCAAGCAGGGAAATAAGCTCATTACACACATCTTCACGCTGCAATTAAGCCATCATGATACTTTATAGTAATGTGTATTTATACACCAGTAGCTATCAACTTCTTGAAAAATGTCATGGAAAGATTGCATTTGTTTGTTTTCCTAGTAAATGCTTTCAAACAGGTGCATAATGTGCACTTCTAATATATAATACTATATTATATGTAGTATATGTTATATATTATATTATTATATAGTATACTTATAATAATATAATATATATAATGCAATAGTACATCGTCTATATAATGTTCTATAATATAATATTGTGTTATATAACATTAATATTATATAATAGCTATATAGTATAGAATATCTAATTATATATTATATAATATATATACTATTGTTATAATATATAGTGTGATTATATTATATGTAATATTATATATAATGTTATATATAATGTTATATATATATATAATATCTAATAATAATATTGACTTCTCATTATTCATCTCAATGTTCCTTGCTTTTCACTTATTTTTCCCTTTCCATCTTGTTTTTCATCTTAATTCCAGCCTGGGGTTAGCCCACCTACTTTTGCTAGTGATTTTGTTGAACAGCTAAATGTAATAGCCCAGGCCAGATCTTCCTCTGCTGCCTGGCATTGCCATCCTGGTTTCCTTTTCCCCCTCTGCAGGTGAACGACGATGTTGGCATTGACTGGACCAACGAGAACGACCGCTTGCTGGTTTGTCAGATGTGCATCAAACTGGCTGACATCAACGGGCCTGCCAAATGCAAGGACTTGCACCTGCAGTGGACAGAGGGCATCGTCAACGAGTTTTATGAACAGGTAAAGGCATTCCAGAGCTGCCTGACTGGTGTTCTGGAGCATGACAGTGCTGCTGGCCAGTGAAAAATCACAGAGTAGGGGTGAAGAGGTTGGCTAGAGTCACATTAATCCAATTTTTTGCTGGACCAGTGAAAGTCTATTTGTCAGTGAAGTTTCTGATGTGTCCTCTGAGACCTCTGGTGATGGTGTTTCTACAGGCTGAACTGCTCAAAGCTGGCACTGTGGACAAGCACTGGCATGGTGAACGAGTGTTCCTTTCCTCTTTGGTTTTCCTGTTGTCAGTCATCATGGCTGTCATTTCCCTCTTCTTTAGTGCAAACCGTGTTTTCTTCCAGAGATGGATTTAGAAAGCCCTGGGAATACAGCCAGGCACTGCTCCCTTCCTTCTAGGTGTAATAGAGCCCTTCATTGAACCGAATTTTCTCATTTTAACCTATTTAGCCCTGCTGAGTGCAAGGGTCAGGGCTGTTCCCACACTGCTGCTCTATTTCCTGTGTGGGAACATTTTGAATGTTCTGGTCAGGTTAAACTCCACATCCTTTCTTTTCCAGACGAAGCAAACAGGCTAAATCACTGAACAAGACAACCGACAGACTTCTCAGGGAGGCTGTGCAGAAACTTGGAGTCACAGACTAAGCCCTTGTAAAGCTTTTTCAACTTCCCTTAAATTTACTGCACTTAACATTTTGGAAAAATAAATTCAACCAGGATTTGCTGCTGCCTTCTGGAGAATATAAAGAGACAGGGAAAGGGACATAATTCAGACATTGACCTGAAGCTTCTTCATTTCTTTCAAATCTCCCAATAAAAACAAAGTACAATGAACCTTAACTATAGTATGAGTATAGCTAGTTCTAGTTTTGTTTTCACTTTTTTTCTTAAACAAAGAAATTGTGTCCCAAAACAACCTTCATGCCTCAAATTTTCTTTCGGGCAATGCTTTTATTCTTCATTGCAACTGTCCCAACAAACTGTGCTTCACAATTCTGGTGATGATCATAGCTTGTGTGGGTGACCAGTGCATGCAGACAGAAGCAGTCAGTCAGATGTAGATTATGACTTTCCTTTTATCCAGTAACAGTTATATCAGAGGGAAATGCCCCAATATAGTAACATCAGCAAGGCCTTGGAGAGTCAGTCAAGGATACAGATGTGGGAAGATGTTGTGTTACTGTTCCACAGTCGGAGCCTGTGTTGTTTTCCATCATTCAGAAATGGGATCCAAAACAGAGAACATTTTCTTCCTTGGTTTTGTTTTTGGCATTAAGGGGGATAAGCTAGATTCTCAGTTTCTTTTATCTCTATTAAAATCTGTTTTCCTTTAATGCTATAGGCTACAAGAGGTTTCAAAACATATTAACCATGTTTTTGAGCATTAGATTTTTTCTGTGACTGAAAAAGTCTTCACATTCTCATTTCTAAAAGGGATAATTGTATGGGAAGTTTGAATTTCCCTGAAAGTATTATCAAAAAGCACACATATGTGAATTCAGCCTATGCTGTGAAAATCATGAAATATCTTTGTTACAATAAACACCAATTCCTTTCAAGAATTTCACTCCCATATAAATAAAAACTGCTTATTAAAAATGTGTTGTATAAAAATAATCAAAATCCTGTGTCATGTTATTGCAGGATGTTCCCTTCTCTTTACATGTCCAGCATAATTATTTGAAGACAGGACAGACTATTTATATTAGAATAATATATTAGAATAAATTTTTTTTTATTATTTATTTATATTAGAATAATTAGAATAAAAAAACCACACTGCAAGATCTTTCACATAATAAATCATGTTTTAACAGAACAATTAAAAAGAATTTGTAAACATTAACAGTCAGCATTTCTGCCAGTTCACAACTAGGAATTCTTTACAGAATATGATTCTGTAAAGAAGAGCAAGCTGTCACCTCTTCCTAACTTGCTTGCCATTTCAAGAACGGATGGCATGTTTCAGTGTTTTGTCAACACAAATATTTTGTTTTTAGTGATTGCAACAACATTTCTTGGTTGGTTATTGCTAAATTAGCAAACAAAACACAAGGAATTGAGATATTTGCTGTACATACTCCAAAATTTAGCTCTCATTTTTTGCCTTCACCATATACAGATACAGAGAGGACATTGGTCAGCTGTGAAGACCATTACTTTTGAAAAATTTACATTACAAGGAGATAAATACAAGCAAACATAATGGAAACTGAAAATGCATCTCCAAATTCTAACATATATCCCATAATAGAGAACTCTGTATTGTGTTACAGCAATCAGTTACATATCAGGCTTGATTAGAGAGGTTAGATTTTTTTGGGGAGGAGATGGCATCTGGTCTTGTCATGTCTGCTCAGCTGAAAGCTCACTGATATCACCAGAAGCTTTGCTGTGACAGGGAATTGAGTATATCAGATTTGGCTCTGCAATGATATTTTGCTTTATTTTACATCATAAAGATGAGAAGAGAGAGAAAAAAACTTCTCTTATGCCTCCCTCTCTCCCCCAAAAAAGCTTTGTGGGAAAGATTTACTGGTTTTGAGCAAATGAATGTCATACATTGCTTTAACTGGGATCATTCTAATAGTCACAGGAAACAAATATTTATGACCCAAAGCCAAAAGGACCTATCCAGGTTACTTTTAATAAGGATGAAATCAATAAGAAAACTTAAAATTAAAAAAAAAAATTAATAAGAAAAATTTTTAAAAATCAAATAATAAAAATTAAAAAAAAAAAAAAACTTAAGAAGAATAGTCTGGTGAGATAGCCCTGTCTTGTAGAAGTTGTCTTATTCCCTGTAAACAAGGTTGTTGTGAACTAACAATCACACAGTCAGAATGGATTGTTTTAAAAATAATGCGAAGAAAGAAATGAAATAACAATTTTCAAGTTTTCACACGGTGTAAAGTTCAGGGCTAGGGGCATCCTTCTGCAGAGTCATTGTTAAATTCATCCTTGTTGAATTCTCCTTATTGGTAGTGCTTTGGTGTCAAGAAAAGAGCTGCAACTGTGCCCATTTGACACGATGGCACTGTCACCATGGAAGTGCCAGGCTGGCATTGAGATGCTGTCCTTACAGCATTTTTAATTGGCTGGATATGCTTTCCCCCTTGTTGTGGTGTGGTTTTGTTCCGTTTAGCTCAGAAATGAGGGCTGTTTCCATCTGCAGGGCGATGAAGAGGCCAGCCTGGGGCTGCCCATCAGCCCGTTCATGGACCGCTCGGCTCCGCAGCTGGCACACCTCCAGGAGTCCTTCATCACCCACATCGTGGGACCACTCTGCAACTCCTACGACTCGGCAGGGCTGATGCCAGGAAAATGGATAGAAGAGAGTGATGAGTCAGGAGACACTGATGAGCAGGAGGAGGAGGAAACAGCAGACATGGAAACTTGTGAAAACACCGAATCCAGTAAGTTGGTGACGCTTCCGTTTTCCAACAAAACAAGTTCCATGTAGGGACCAAAACACTAACCAAAGGCTGTGGGCTGGCCAGGTTCAGCATGGGCCTCCTCAAGAGTGACAGAGTGTCACTCTGGAGTCAAGGACCTGGTGTCCTTGGCTGTCCTTGGAGGAGCTGTAGCCACTTACATTGTGAATGGAGATGCTCCATAGTTTCAGCACCAGTGGGTTTCAGCACCAGTGTGGTGTTTTTGGGGTCCCCAGGATGAAGGAGGAGTAATTGAATCTGACTCCATGTTCTTAAAAGGCTAATTTATTATATTATGATATTATATAATATTAAAGAATGCTATACTAATCTATACTAAAGAAGAGAGAAAGAATATACAGACAGAAGGCTACAAAAAATTATAATGAAAACTCAGACTCTCTCTTCCAGAGTCCTGACACAGCTGGACATGATTGGTCATTAAGTAAAAACAATTCACATGAAACCAATCAAACAATCTCCAGACCACATTCCAAAGCAGCAAAAACCGGAGAAGCAATCACATTATTATTGTTTTCATTTTCCTCTGAGGCTTCTCAGCTTCCCAGGAAAAGAATTCCTGGCAAAGGGAATATGACAGTGACAATCCACCACTCATCTCCACCTTAGCTGGGGTTTCTGGTGGTGGATCATCTGTGCATGAGGGCTTTCTAGACTCTTTCAGGACTGGTGTTGATAGACTGCAAGAATTTCAGTTGAAAAAAAGGATGTTTGGGAGAAGATTTTTGAAGGAAAATACTCATCATTTCCATGAGTTAACATGACAAACAGGAACAATAGAATGAGGATCTGAAATGCTGATGGAGTAAAGGAGTTTTTAACAATGGAATCATTTTAATGCACATCTCTTCAAGGTAACATGGAGAGGAGTGGGAAGAGAATGGGCACTGAGCATTGCTGTGTTGTATGCTGGGAGCTGCATCTCTTGGCTAACCAGTAACTAAAGCTCGTGTTCTCCTGCCTCTCCTCTAGGAGGGCAACACTGCCAGTATTTGCTGTACTGAGATGAAAGTTTTTTACCTTTTTTACCTTTTTACCTTGAAAGGAGATTTCAGGCACTTGTGAGAAGTGATTTTTAAGAGAAAATACTGCAGCTGTAGACCTCTTCCTTTTATCAGTTCCATCCTGTGTTACCTTTTTCTTTCTTTCATGTTCTTTCTCCCTCTGAATTTTCTTCTGCTGTTCCTTTATTTCCCTCCTGAGTCATCTTTCTCTCTCTCCCCTGTATCCAGTTTTAGATAACAGCAGCCTAAAGTGCACTCATGAAATACCAATACTTTTTCCTTCAACAACCTCCCTTTTTCTGTTCTTTCCCACCCATATTCTTTCATGCCCATCCTGGGTATCATCCCCGTTTTCTGTTGGGAAAGCTGAGAAAGATTTGATGAGTGCAGAAATTCACATATGGATGTGGAACTAAAATCTGTGTCTCCTGATGTGCAGAATTAACCTTTTGTCTCTAGTAAGATCCAGAGGTAAACAGTTTGGATTTAAGGAATCATTGCTATTTTTCACACACACACCCTTGCACATATTTTAAATTTAGCACTTTCACATGCACAAAAAAAAATCCTGTAGAGAACAGTAAACATCAAGTAATGTAACACCCATGGGTTAATTTATCACGTTATGATCTGTTAGTTCTGTAACAGGCAGAGCCACATATTTGTGGCAGATTGGACTTTCTGGATGTGCCTGCTAGGAGGAAATGTAATTAACACAGACCCCAAAGCCTGAAACTGATACTGCTGTATTAAAAAAAAAATATGAAGGATGTTCTCATATATCCATGGTGTCTCTAACCTTACTCTGAAATCCTTGGTTTCCTTTCATTTAATATCTCTATTTACTTATCTTCCGTATCACCATTAGTGGAGACAAATAATGCTGTTTTCAGGTTAAAAGCACTGATCATTATTAACCCTTTTCACATTGTAAATACACTGATCTTAGTGATCTTCTGTTTTCTTCTTTACCCTGTACCTTAATATTCAGCCTGGTGGTTTTAGACTATGGGTTTCAAAGCTTTAAAAATTAATGTATCAGAAGTTTTGAAATATTCCACAAGTTCTTTCTATTTCCTTTTTACCAAATGAGGGATGCTCCTCTTCTTGACCACTCTAATGCGTGGCAAATTGTTGTCTCCGGTCCCTGAATTCTCTGTGGCTGTGTGCACCTTACTCAGGATTCTGTGACATCTTTTGTGCCAACGTAGGGGCCTCATAGTTCCTTAGAAGTGTGTCGCTGTATCAACCCAATTTTGGACTTTCTAAACTCTCTCAATGAAGCAATAAAAGTTTGAGATGTCAGATGCACAGACTTTAAGACTGGTGTATAGATGTTGATAAAGATCTTTTGATGAAAATGCCTTTTAGGCAGATAGAAATATAATTGTGGCAGAAAACACTTCATCTAGGTCCTGATAATTCACTGAAGAAGTTGAGATAAATTTAAGAATTATAACCTTAAAGTAGCTTTAAGTAGTTGGGTTTTTTTCTATACAGGAGCATGTACTTGCCCTGAATGTCTTATGCAAGTATAAGAATTAAACAGACTCAGTCTTTAGTGATTCAGACAAATTTTAACACCACAGCAAGTGTCTGCAGAGAGCAACAAGATGTGGGGTCACCTGGGAAACCCAGGAGAGAATGTCCTGCTGTAGCATTGGCAGCAGAGGGGCTTCTTATTAATGCTAAACCTGAAGGTTTCCTACAGGGAACCAAGGGCTTTCTAATGAAGGATTGAATTGGATTTGGTCTGTGCTCAGTGAAAAGCTCTTTGTTCCCAGTTCAAAAGCTTCAAGGGCTAAACATTTTGGATCCTGACACAGACATACTTCAGGCAACCTGCAAATACTAATCCACGCAAATTTATTTGGTACAAAACATTCCTCTACGTCACCTTCTTTGAAGAAAAATCAGCAGTTGTCTTTGGAGGGGTTGTTATTTCAGTTCTGTGATGGCCATTGTCATTGCTAATGACCAGGAACATTTTTCAAACTTTATAGTGCTGAGGAGTTAAGAATCTGTGTTGGACAGACTGTATTGACAGGAAAAATCCACCCTTGAGACAGCAGAACACTTGCAGTGTGTGTCGGGAGCCGTGAGAGCCACCAGGGACAAAAACACTTCATGGGCTGAGAGCAGGGGCCTGGTGCTTCAACAGCCAAGAGGAGCAAGCTCCCTGTGACAGGTTTTGGCTATAGGAGTGCTTCTTTAGGGCCCAGGCTGCTGCCACAGCAATGTTATCCTTTAAGATTAAGGTCACCTCCACTGCGATGGGGGAGCGATGTATGACTGTGAAAATGGAATACAGGGAAAACAAAATCAGGATTTTTTTCCCTAGGACAATCAGCAGGGATCTCTTGGGGGTGAGGAGGGCACAGAATTGAATGTGTGTTGATCAGAGTCTTTAGGAACTTGATGTAAAATGAGCAGAAACAGGTCAGCAATGTTTCTTATGCATAATCATTCAAAGACCAGATATCTCTGAGCAGCTGAGTCAGGCACAACATGCAGCCTTGGCATAGGATGAAGCTGGGGCTCAAACTGTGCAGGAAACCAGTTTGCCTTCCCCAAGATCTGGAGAGGCACAGCCTTCTGAATTTTAACACTGTGCAAATGTTGGGGTTTAAAAATCTGTCGTGGTGTGCTGTCTGCTTCCTGTGCCTTCAGTCGCTTTTCCTTCTCCAGTAGAAACCAGCACATTAATGTCACGTGGTGTTTTACAGGAAAGAAGAAGTTCAAGAGGAGGAAAATCTACTGCCAGATCACTCAGCACCTGCTTCAGAACCACAAGATGTGGCAGAAGGTGATTGAGGACGAGGAGAGGTTAGCTGGGTCAGAGAAGCAAGGCACGGAGCAATCCCCACTGCACCAATCCTCAGAACAAATCCAGGCCATCAGGGAAGAGGAGGAGGAGAAGGGGAAGGCCAGGAAGGATGAAGAGGAGAACACAACTGTAGAACCAAACCAATGACAATCTTTACAGCAGTATTTTAAGACAGATTGACTCGTGCACAGACTCTTTCTCAAGCCAGCACAGCATGTAGACACAACACTGTAGAAGTATGGGATAATGCGCCTACAGCTGTTTAATTTGTTTCTCTTTCCTTTTTCTGGTGAGGTACATTGTTTAAACTCCTATGCTCAAGGAAGCTTTCACACTGCAACACCGGCTTTACAGACTTTCTTTGAAGAGATTTGGGGGTGGGTGGAATTATATAAATATATATATATATAGCCAGGGTTATTGGCTGCACACTTCAGCAAAATACATTTAATGATATATTATGGTCACTGTGATATTTACAGGAGAAAGTTATCTGAGGAAATGCTGCTTCTGAAGCACATTTGCAGTTAACAGTAAGGTACCAGTTAAGTAGCTTTTTGCTCTTAATGCTGAGGGATAAAAGTTCCAAAGCTTTATATGAATGCTGATATATCCTGCCAACACATATGTGTGAGTGAGGGGGTGTTTGCAGGTGTGAGTGGATGTGAGGAAATGCAGCATGCTCTGAGTTCTTACCACACTAGCTGTAGCACATGTCCCAGCATACCACAACAAAGAGAAGGCCAGAATTGTCGAGAATTCGTGCCTGCAAGGGAACAATTTTGAGGAGCTTTGCTTTCCCTCCAGTCCCAGTGTGCAGTCCAGCTGCGGGCAGCCTCCGCTCAGCAGCAGCCCAGGCGCTGCTCCAGCCCTGCCCAGCTGTGCTGGATCTCCTCCTCCTCCTCCTGGGCACCTCCGGACTGCTGGCGAAAGGGATGTGCCAGGAGGGCTGTTGGCAGCGGGGAATGCCTGGCACAGCAGTGTGTGCCCCTGCGGGAGGCTGGCCCTGCCTGTGCCCCGCAGGGCGAGCGCGCTGTTTGGGCACAGTGTGCTCTTCTGCCCTGCCCCTGGGCCAAACGTGGCATTCAGGAACAAAGCTAAACTGCTGGCAGGCAAAGGAAGGGCAGCGTGGGGGCCAGGGGAATCAGGCAAAGGGGGCATTGGGAGCTGCCTGGGGACAGGTGCCAGTCCTGCGTGGGCTGGGCACTTGGTGCCCCAGGGGTGCTCACAGGGGCTTCAGAGAACTCGGGTTTTCAGTGTCAGGTGCTGCACGGCAGCACTTTGTTGCTGGCATTCTGCTTAGGAGCAGCATGTTTGATCCCACCAATATATTTTTCCTTCTTTCTTCTTTTTTTTAACAGGAAAAAAAAAAGATCAGGCTTGTAAGAACAGCAGATCTTTTTTTTGTTGTTGTTGTTGTTCTGTTCATTTGTTTTCTCTGTTGTTTATGCTGTGAGCCAAATGTCTATTTAAAAGGTTGGATATTCACTTTCAATATTTTATTTCACGATATATTTGTCAATGATTAGCTATCTAGATGTAAATATGGAAAAATTTTTATGGGTTCCTGTAGATAATGATATCTTTAAGAAAAAAAAAAAGAAAAAGAAAAAAAGGGAAAAGTTGTTTTGTAAAGATAATTTTTTTAAAAATAAATACAAAAACATTTTTATACAGTGTAGCCATTTCCAAACCCCACAAATAAAGTCTTGAGTAATCTGTATAGACCCTTCTGGGAAACCAGCAGTCTTACAGGATCAAGGCTTTAAAATATTAATGCTCTTGGGGACTGGCAGCACCAAGCAGTACCCCACAATTTAGAGATTTCCCACAGAAAGAGTTATATATATATATATAAACTTCAGTATCTCTCAGAACTCCTTTGACTATGTGTGCTTTTTCTAGTTTGATTCTGCAGCCCATTACCCAGAAGAGGGCTGCTTGTGAGAGTAAGATTTCTTGTGAAAGGCAGAGATTGTGGAAGTCCTTCCTGTATTAAATTCCTGGTCTTACACCCATCACTTTTTGCTATTGTTCCACGTTCACCAGATTTCATGGTCCTGTTGACACCTCCCCAAAATGTTGGAAAACATTCTCTATCAAAGCCAATCACATATGTGTTATCACTTCAGGGTTCCTTCTTGCTTTGTGTTTCTGTCAGAATGAGGTTTTGCTCAAAAGAGGATTTTTGGGGTTTTTGCTGGTTGCATTTTCCTGATGTTGTCCTGTCCTACTCTTACCAGTGGAAAATCTGTTTGCCTTTCAGCAGAGTGACTGGGGCAGGTTCTGAATGCTCTTATCAGCAGGAATGTTTTAGAACTGTTTTCCATTGAAATCAGAAAAGCAAAGATCCAAATTGCACTGATGTTTTAAAGGGAAAGGACATAGCAGGATTCATTCAAAAGAAAAAAAAGTTGTCTCCAAGATCTCAGCAAGTCTCCACAAATTCCAGTTTGTGTTGTTTTCCTATCTCTTCAGTCACTTTGATCATTTTATTTGGGCTTTTCTTGTGCAAGTGATATGCATACCTTATAGTATAAGAAAGATTTACTATGCCTCATTCTGTCCTTTAAAAATTAAAATTACAGAGATGTTTTAAAATGTCACATCTCCAAGCACGTCTTTCTTGATTTTCAGTGCATAATCACTGCAAATGAATTTTAATAGTGGGGTTTATATTGCCTTTGCTGGAAGGGGAAAACAATTCTATTGCTGCAGGTGTTAGTGGGTGCCCAGTTGGTAAAATTATGAAGAACCATTCAAGAAAGAGGCAAAATCCTGTAAGGAGGGTTTCACATATTCCTCTAAACTGGCATACACAGGGTTGAAAAGAACTAAGAGTAACTAAGAAAAGTTAGCTAAAAATGTGCTGAAATTAAATCAATATATTTTTCTGGTCATCACTTTTGGTTGCCATTAAGTAAAATTAGTGTCAGCTTCTGATTTGTTTTTCTGCATTGCCAAGGCAGCTGTTAGAAACTGACACACCATTGCTACCCCAGCCTGTTCATGGGAGCAGTCTCTGAACTGGACCTTTATGGACAGACTTAAAATGGAAATGATTGTTGTTTTTATCCAAACTAGAAAGAAATTCCAGTGAAGAAGCTGAAGTGGCTGTGAGTACTCAGCTTGGTAAGAGGTGAATTTTTTTGTCCCACTTCAAATAGTTAGTAATCCAATTTCTGCAGGTGGTCCCTCCTTATGAATCTGATTCTCAGTCTTTGAAGGGCATGTCTGGCAGCCAGTGATCAGGAAATCTCCAGGCTGGCTTAGATATAACACAAACCCCCATTTAAATGGTGTTTTGCAGTGGCAAACCCAAGGTACTTTAGTTTTCTGTTCTTTAAAAACAGGAAGAGAAAGACTAGATGATTTTTTCCATTTGGATATTTTGTTTTCCCCACTTTAATGGCACTTGGTGTCTGATCCTGTTCCCATCTAGTCTAGAAGTTTGTCTGAAATGCTTTTGTAGTGCTTGCAGCTCCCAGTGCAGTGACAAAAGCACTCTGTGTCATGTAGCAACCACATGTAAACACTTTTGTCCCTATACTGGCACTTTTGTTGATGGCCACATGGTGTTTACCATGGAATATAACTTCTCTCCTTACACTTGTGTTGCAGAGGGAACACGTGGAAGTAGAGAGCGTGAAAGCCCCAAACTATTTAATTACCTTTTCTTTTAGGAGGAGTGTAAGACATTAGCTTTTAAGAAACCAAAAATGTTGTGTCTAAAAACAATCGTTTCAAACGTTCAAAGGGCCATAGTTTACTATGCTCTATATTTATACTCTAATTCTAAAATCTTGGTTTGTTTTTAGCTAATGTGCAGAGCATTTTGACACTTGTCTCTGAAAGTCATCTACTCCCTCCAGTAGGAAGATGGTGTTTGATGAGATGTTGCAATCTGTGCATCAGAAGTGAGTTGCAGCAATCTAGGGAAAAGGGATTTTGCTGTGCTTTTGGGTGGCCTTAATCTGTGAATGAAATCTTTTGCACAGAGCTGTGTGTCACCAAAGGCCTCCCCTGTGACATCGTGCAGGGTGCTGGTTCTCATAGCAAACATGGCATTATTATGGCAGGAAAATGGTTCCAGGGCAGGTGTGATTTGAGAATGCTTTTGTTAATCGTGCAAGGATAGTTTTCATCAGTTTTTATTCTGATATCACACGTGAACTTCTCTCTGCATCATCATCAGCCTAAAGATGGATTTAGGTCTTTACCATTAGTGCACCACTGTTAGAATTTCTTAAGATCCTGGTGGTCTGAATCTGGAAGAAGGTTAAAGCTACAGAGGTTCAAATAGATGCTTTTAAAGGTCCATTTGGCATCTAAGCAAATTTCCCTCCCAAGTCCCATTCTATGCATTCCATGCTGGACATAAAATTAATTTGTTTTCTTTAAAAATTCTATATTTCTGTCTACTTTTTTGCTAGATTTTTTTTTCGTTCTGAAATTCTGGCCCCATCTTTCTCCAGAAATGGCCTGGGAAGTCGAATGCAGTGTGAAGAAGGCAAGGATCTTGCCAAATTGAGCATCAGTCAGTGGCAGAGCCTGTAAGGACTCTGTGTGGGCATCCAGCACTGCTGATCTGCTCAAGGTCAGCAACCCGAGCCTGGCTGGACTTGGAATCCTAGAGAATTTTGTCAGTTTTCAAAATAAACCCTAAGCATTTCTGAAAGGTTAGCCATGAGTCTAATGCAGGAAAAGCTTTGTGGCTGGTGCTGGTTGTTAATGAAGTTCTTGTGCAAAGTCCGTGTAAGTCCTGCCACAACTGAGATGTTCCGACATCACATGGGAGGAAGGAAGGGTTCATTTTAAGGGTGAGAAGTTGCTGAGCATCCCACAGCCTCGTGGGCAGAGGATTAGACAGAAGCAGGTTCCCAAAGTGAAGGATTCACCTCTCTGCAGGCACTCAGGGCTCCCTGCTCTGCCCAGCCTCAGCCCTGAACACTGCCCTTAGCACTTGGGAATTCCAGTCCTCCAGTGGATGGGGTTGAGCACAGGCAGGAGGGAAGTGAAACATTCATTCTGTGGGGAGGACGAAGGGAAATCATAGTCCATTATCAAACAGATTTTATGAACCAAAACTTATTTTCCTTTTCTTTCAAAAGCAAATGTAATCCTGCTGAAATGGAGTAACATAGAGTTTCTGGGAGGTTAATTGCTGCTTGACGTTGCAGTATTAGTCAAAATGATGGCAGTGTTAAAAGAGAAGATAATTATTGCCATTAATTAGAGCGGGAGAATCTTCTTTTTTTCCTATTTTTTAGTGAATCAACAAGTAAGAACGTGCAGGGATCTTGGAGAACCATACACATTAAGTGGTTTTGAACAGATGAAAGAATCACAGAAATTAGGTGTGAGCTGTCTTACGAAACATTGGAAGAGCTTGCAAAATTATTGATTATTGGAGTCAA